CCAAAAATCCTGCCTAGAGTTGAGTATTTAATTCTAAAGTGGGTGGCCTAAGTATAAGACAGAAAGACTCAGACGTACTCAGCAGACAAGTTTTCTTGTGTCCTGCTAGGTGGTAGATAAGGTGGGCTGGAGAGATATAGGGAGAATGAGATGGAGAAGCTGTGGGTCTCTGGCCTGTCTCTAGTCCCTGCTGGGTAGAGACTGGCCTGGAGTCTAGATGTCTTCCTCATTGCTTACCCACAGCCGCTGGAATGTCACCGGTGTCTGGTCCAACCAGCAAGGGTACTCATCTGGATTCTAAGACCCTTCCCCATCCCAGACAAGGTCAAAGTTTCAGATTACTCTGTGCACCTCAGAACAAGGGTGGGGCCCTGGGCACCCGGGCACCACCGGGTGGTGGAAGTTGTGAGGGAGAAACCCCTCTGTGTGTCCAGGGTGGTGGTAGTCTGACTCGTCCTTAGGCCTCCTGCTGAGCTTGACCAGTGGGGAGGTCACATCCTGTGGTAGGTGTTACCCTGGCTGCAACTCGGTGTCCCTGTTACAGACATGAGATCCGCTTGCTTTGCCGCGAACTTCATATGGCATTAGAACCCATGTCCAGAAAAGTGCACATGAGTGAGCACACCCTGATCAATTCTCAGAACTCACCAGCAGGCACATCCAGAAGGAGAAACCAAACATGGCAGGGGCCCCAGAAGCCCGTCTGGGGACCCACCCAGTTTCTTTCCCGGAGAGTAACTGCGATGCTGAGCCCAACCTCAGAGATCTGTCTGCCTGTTTTTTCTGTAAATGGGATTTTGCGGTGTGCCCTTTCTCGCATCTCTCGGGGTTCATCATGTGGCTTTGGGTGGCGGGAGGTGCTCATTCTTGTTCCTGCGGCTCCGTATTCCCTGGTAGCTGTTCTATTGTCAGTTCAGGCTGTTTTCATTGGGCCTGCATAGGATGGGCTGCCTCGAACTCCCCCTGCTCTTCTGGGGAACACAAGCATGCATTTCTCTTGGGCATATGTCCAGTAGTGGAAGTGCTGGGCGATTGATCTACAGAAATTCAGCTTAGGAGACACGGCCAGAGAGCATTCTAAAGAAATGGAACCACGTCCACGCACCCCAGCAATGCGCATGAGTCAACAGGGGTCAGTGCTCTCTGTGTTCTCTTCGTTTCAGCCCCTCCGATGGGCAAATGTCTGCTTTTTATGCTTGAGGCTGGCGAGAGTACATTGTACCGACAGTAATGATAGGGACAATTAATAATCATAATTGAGAATAAAAGCTAAGACAGGCCCCATGATGCCGTGCATCTGTCCTGTGTGGTTCCCGGCCCCAACGGAGATAGTTCGTGTCTGACTGTTGAGCTTATGGTTCCTGCCCTTTGGGTATAAAAGCTGGCCTGTCTTTATGGTGGTTTTGGTAGTTATTTAGTGGCTTGAAAGTCCACTTTCTGGGGGAGGGATGGGCCCTAGGAAGCCTGGCAGGGGGCGAGGTAGGTATCCGTTTTCTTGAGACTTCCTCTTTGCCTCGAAATTAGCCATGCGAAAGTGTCTGGCTCGCCTGTGCTCCCAACCTCCGGTGCAGCCCAGTGAGCCTCTCGGGTCTGACTTTGTGGAGCTCGGAGGAGCTACCAGAACCAAAGGAGACCGGGAGCACAGGAACCAGGAGCATTAGGGCAGAAACGTTCCTGGCATGCCCTGGGTCAGGCAGGAGGTCACAGTCCTCCTCGGTGGCTTGGGAGGAGGGTGGGGACAGAGAAGAAACTAACTGGGTCTGGAGCCCTGATGCTGAGCACAGTGCCCCGGGGGGGAAGGTGGAGTAGAAATTGAGAGCCGGTGACCCTGCAGGGGAGAACATAGAGATGCCTCTCACCCCTGATGGCTAAACCTGGGGGGCTAACCCAGTAGGTGGCTGGCTGCCCCTGGAGAGGGCAGCCAACGGGCTGGGCTCCAGGTAAGTAGCAAGAGGTGAAGGAGTCAGACACGCTCTTGAGAGCATCACAGCGGGTAGAAAAGCACCTGCGGTGTGCCGGGCCAATAATCCCACCTGAGGGAAACCTGGGGAACCCACCATGGGTTCTAATGCCATATGAAGTCTGCCTCTGTCCTCAGGCACAGCCCTGGTCACAGGTGTGACCCTGCTGGGTGACCTCTGTTGGTTACAGGTCACCATCCCAAGTCTGCCTCCCAGCCTCCCCTGGGATCCCCTGGATCTCTTTAGCACCAGCAAGGACAGTGACCGAGGTGAGCACAGTGGCTGGCCTCCAGACCCGCTTGGGCCCTGTCCCTGCTGTTGGTACTGTGGTTGCCCTGGTGGGAAGCCTGCTTTCTCAGCACTCCTAGGGAGAGTTGGCCCATTGCAATGGCCGCCGCCTCAAAAAACAAAAAAGACCGCAAAGGAAGAGCAGTGGGGAGGCCCTGGCATCCAGTCACGTGAATCCGTTCAGAGGCCGCGTCCCTGAAGATGTCGTCTCTGATGACAAGGGGACCTGTGCTTTGTTTTTGGGTCAGAATGAGAGAAAATAAAAAACCCCAAGGGTGGGAATCTTCAGTGGACGTGTTGTGCTGGAACCTCTGTGACCCCCAGCTGGCCACTCCATGGGGAGGGGCGGAGGGGTCGAAATGTGTTCATCCGGACTTTGAAGACAATAGTAATAATGCGGCCCACGGGGCTGTCTGACGGAGGAACTCCCTGAGCAGTCGTGTGCGAGAGAGAGGACACCCTAACTGTTACAACAGCAGGGGCCACCAGACAGGAGATGCGAGTTCTGGAACATTCTTTCCAGTTGTCTCTTTGCTGGCAAGACAGAATGGCTGACAGTGGGGACAGAACAGGATGCCTCTGTTCACGGTTCACTTAAGTCAAACCCGGGAACAGCCTGGGGGGAGAAGGAACGCTTGGAGGAGGAGCACCCTTAGTCCGCGGTGTCGGGCAGGAGGAGAGACAGGTCAGAGCAGGGTGTGGCGTCTGCCTCTCCCCGGGGCGCTGCCGGGTCTCCAGGGACTTCTCGGGGGTCCTGGTGTGCGGGCCAGCGGCTGAGCATGCTGGCATCTGTGTGAGGACTTGTACAAGGCAGACAAAGGAAGCAGAAGCATTTCTTCTCTGTGTAACTAAATCTGCAGGTATGTGAAGCCCCCAATTCCATCCCCGAGCTCCTCCTGGGAGGCTGCAAAGCCAGTGGCGTTAGGACAGCCCTCGAGTCCAAAATGGTCCCTGCTGCTCCTGGAAATTCTGCTTTTATAAGCTCCCTTCGTCGGTTCTTGGAGACTTGTGTGTGTGTGTGTGTGTGTTGATAGGTGCTTTTTTATTTTTGTTATTTATTTATTTATTTATTTAAGTTTCAACCTCTCCTAGGAGGGGCTATTTGCCTGTTTCTACCTCTTTTTCTTTTTCTTTCTTTCTTTCTTTTTTTTTTTCAGTTGAGGCAAAATTCAGGCAACATACAATTGGCCATTTCCAAGGGAACGGTTCAGTGGCATTCAGCACATTCTAGTCCCGAACAAGCCTGTGCTGGTTAGTCTGGCGGTCACTGCCCCTTCTCCCCAGGGCCCCCAGCCCTGGCAACCCCCAGTCTGCTCTCCGTCTCTACAGATTAGTCTCTTCTGGACCTTTTACATAAATGGAATCACACAGTACACGGCCCGTGGTTTCTGGCTTCTTCGGCGTTGACCGATGTTGTCCAGGTTGATGTACCTTGTAGCGTTGTAGTGGGTGTCAAGGCTTCATTCCTTTGTATGGCTGAATTGTGCTTTTTTTTTTTTTTTAAATTTTACATTTATTTGAGAGAGAGTGAGCTAGCAAGAAAAAAAATTGAGAGAAAGAGCACAAGGCGGGGGCAGGGTCAGAGCGTGAGGTAGAAGCAAGCTCCCTGCCTAGCAGGAAGTCCCACATGGGGTTCAGGGCTCAATCCCAGGACCCCAAGATCATGACCTGAGCTGAAGGCAGATGCTTAACCATCTGAGCCACCCAGGCACCTCAGTCCTGTTGTACCCACAGATGTATCCTGATGTATCCACAGATACATCAAAATGTTCCTTTTAATGTATCTGTGGAAAGGGTGCCCAGGGCCTCCCTGGGCATTGCTTGTGGGTCCACAGGCCTCTGGGAAGCAGAGGGATGTCATGCCCCCTCCCAGCCAAGCCCCCGCTGACCCTGCATGGTGATTGTTCCTGGACTCAGAAGGCTAAGCACGTCCTTTTGCTCTTACTTCTACATTGTTAAGGCACTGCGAGCAGGGGACATTCTGTGGCTCTGTCTTCCTCCTGACTATTCCCAGACATGTCCCCAGCTCATCACAGACCAGTCCCAAGGCTGCTATCCAAGAACTTGGAAGATACCAGGGAATCCTGCTGTTAGAGAGGAGGACACAGACTCTGGTTAGTCACAGCCGAGGGTCATTTGAGGAGCAGGGAACACAGAAAACAACCAGGCTGTGAGCTGGCCTTTTCTTGGTGCTGGAGCACCTGGGTCCTTGGGTTCTTCCTTGGGGAACTGAGTTCTGCCCACACCATACCAGGCATTTCCATGACTACCCTATCCTGCCTGGAGAATGAGTGTCTTTTTTTTTTTTTTCCTGATGATGGCGTGCCCCATCCTTCCTTTCTCCCCGTGTGCTCAGGGCCGCCCCTTCCTCCTCGGTCCCCTGGGCTTCCCCAGCCCCGAGCTGTGTGTGCTCCCTCCCTCTCGTGGACAGCAGGCCGAGCAGATCCCATCCACTGCCCAGACACACCTGCCTCACCTCCATCCTTTGGGGGCCCCGAAGCAGACAGCGATCTGGCTCCTGGCACATTGATGAAACAGAAAACTAATATGCTTGGCAAGACGCTGGGGCTCCTGCTTCAAGGTGCTTGTAAAAATAACAGGACACTTAGTTTTCAAAGGAAGCCACTAACTGCCTCTCTTCCCCATGTCTCCCAGAGGAAAGGGAAGATCTGCTCTGACTCTGTGTATCTTACCACCTGTCTGGAAGTGCTGTGGTCTCATGCACGCATACATCTTCTTCCCACCCCACAGAATTAAGGCTGCAGCAGGGGTGAAGATATCGGCCGTGCGAGTCAGCAGCGACCAGCAGTGGGCCGTCCAGGAGGAGATAGACAGCAGCAGCGAGCAGACGACAGCTGCCCTCACCTGTGTGGGCCACCACCCGGACACGCAGAACAGGTGAGCGCCGACGTCCCCGGGCGAGGCTGTAGCCGTGGTGAGGCTGGGGGGCGGGGGGAGGGGCAGCCTGCAAGAGCTGAGAGCAAAACGATGTGCACAAATGGGGTGACGCCTCTGCCGCTGACGGGCGACTCGTCAGCGCTGCTCCGCCGTCCGGCTTCCGAATGGCTCCATTACAGGGCCGCGTCGCTAAAGGAGGCTTTCAGTCTTCACGTTCTTTTATACACCAATGGCCCAATTAGGGGAGCAGTCTCACCAAATGGCCTGAACTCGCATATGCGCAGGGTTTGGGAACTGCATTTTAGGAATTTATTATTATTATTATTGTTTGCACTGAAGACTGAAGAATGAAATGAGGACCGTAGACATGATCTAAGAGGCGAGGGGGAAATGTACGTTTTTATGAGCAACAGAGGCGGCTAGAGCGACTGAGTGATTGTGTCTCAGTGCGTAAATGCAGTCGTCTGGCCGGTATCACGCCTGGGTATTGGCGTATGGAGTCAGAAGGGGAAGGCGGGTGAGCTTGGTGTTCCCGGCACACACTTGTCCTCCCCAGCTCAGACGGTCACCTTGGGTTTCATGGGGCTGTGCTCACCTGGGAGGTGGAGGGCGGTCATTGCTAGTTATCGTGCTTCAGGACCCCCAAAAGGCAGAGGGAGCTGTCGCCACTGTGGTAGCAGCCTTTTCTCTCAAGGGGTCAGGCCAGAGAGCCCCTAGATGTGTCATCCCGGTCCGTCTTAAAACCATAAAACCACAATGGATCCCACTTCAGCCAGGACGAGACCCCGAGTCCTCAGCTTGGCCAGGGAGCCCATGTAGATAGATGTCTGCCGTTGTCATACCCTGTTCTCTTTTCTTTCCCTCTAGTATTTAAACTCCGTAGTGTTAGGCCCTGAGGGGATGCTCTGTGGACTCTCCAGGGTGTGGGCGGGTGGCTGGGCTCCTGGGGCTTGGGGAGGTTGGGTGGAGCTTGCCTCCTTTAGAGGAGTCCTGTGCAGAGTGCGCCCTGCCAAGGTGACCCTGGCCAACCTCAGCTCGGGTCATGTCTTGCCTGCTTCCAAGAGCTCTCTCAAAGGGGAGGGCACGAGGGTCCGGTTAGAAATACCGACGACGCCATACTCAACATTCTGACTTTCCTGCTCTCCAGCCCTCGACAGGGCTTTTCCTCTGCAACCTCGAGTGGCCCAGGGTTTCCTGCGAAACCCGTCTGCCCTCCGAGCTTTCCCCCACCCTGGATTGTCAGTATATAGGGAGAGCCTGGATTCTTCTGTTGGCTCAAGTGCTTTCATCTGCAAGTACTAGGTTACCCCCGGGTCGTGGCTGCTACGATGTGGTTTTATCACCTCACCTGGCAAGAGGTTTAGGGGCGGGTGGTTGGCGGCTAGTTAATGTGGCCACACAGACTAATTCACCCAGGTGTGTCCTGCCCTCCCCTCTGTTGTGCCCGGCTTCCTGGCTGTCATCCTTCCTTCTGTTTGCTCGTGACCGCAGCAGTCCCAGGCTTCACCAGCTCACCCCGTTGTTCCCTAACACAGACAGGGAGGCATTTCTCTGTGTCTCCTTTTCATCAGGGAGGAAGATCTGGAAGTCGTCTCTTCAGCTCCCGGGGAGCAGCGAGCTCCTGCCTTTGCCCCAGAAGCAGTCTCGGGAAAGCAAACACCCAGAACTGTTTTGGGGAGTTGTTGCCGGCAGTGGTCTTTGTTATAAAGGAAGAAGGGCGGGAGAATGACGGTCCGCTAGCCAGGTGCATCACTCTTCAAACGTGGTGTCTGCCAAAGGCTATGGCTTCCTCTCTGTGTTGTGCTGGGGCCCAGACCCCCTCTGGGTTCCTGGGGATGTTGGTCAGGTGGGCTTTGTCCAGTGGCTGCTGTTGGGTGGCGCACTGATGAAGCCCAAGAGAAAAGGGGTCTTGGGTTCCTTGCGCTGATGGAGATGCATGGGGGGCTGCCACCAGGGACGTCTGGATCCAGCTGTCCAGCAGCATCCTTAGTGACCTGTCCCCCATCTGTCCTCTGGGTTGGCAGCATCTCCAGCAGGATCTTCCCTCCTGGTGGCTGGTCGGCCACCAGCAGCTCCCAGTGTCCATCCTGCTGATGGGTCACTTTAGGGAGGATGCTGCTCTTCCCCATCAGGTCCCCTGGCCCTGTTTGGCCCAACTTGGATCATGGGCCCACCGGAACCAGTCACTTTGGCCATACCACCTGAACGACACAGGGTTAGAGGGATGAGAGAAGTTCTTGGGGATGGCTGCTGGGGCAGACACAAGGGGCCTTGCGGTTACCACAGTCCTGATATGCTAGAGGGGCCCGAAAGTGATGCCTGGATGTACACCCTCCGAAATCAACATTTGGGTATACATCTTGGGTGTAGATCTTCCTTGACTCGTAGTGGGGTGAGCTCCTGATGACACCCATCGTAAGTTGAAAATATTGAAGTTGAAGATGCATTTAGCACAACCAACCTCTTGGCAACCACAGCTTGGCCTGGCCTGCCTTCCCCATGCTCAGGGCACCGACGTGAGCCTCCCGCTGGACAAAATCACCCCCACAAAGCCTGTTTTATAAGGAAGTGTCGACTGTCTTGTGTCATTTCCTGACTCCTGCATTGGCGGTGACAGACGGCTTGGCCGTGAGGGTGCAGGGGGCGTCCGGGACCCTCGTGATCGTGGGGCTGATGGGGAGCGGCAGCCGCTGTCCAGCATCACGGGAGAGGATGCGCCCGCGGATCCTGAGCCCGCGACAAGGTCTTGATTCAAAAATCCAAGTCCGGTTTCTACCGAACGCATTAATTGCTTTCCCACCATTGTCCAGTAGAACAGTTGCACGCACCTCAAGCTGTCCTGAGTCGGAAGGGTCTGTGTGGGGGCGGGATCCATGGTCTTTGTGTAGGAAATTGACTTCTTGAAGTATCTGACTGATCACGTGGTGATGTTTTACACTGAAGAAAAAGACGTAGGCTGTGGTGATCACTTTCGGTTCTGCGAGAGTCAATTTTGCATTCTCTTTAGGAGAGAGAAAAAAGTTGCAGCAGAAGAAAACTCATTACAGAAACAGAGTTACATAATCATGAGACGCTCTCCCATCTGGCGTCCTACCCCTCCTCCTTCACCTGGGGTTTGACCTCCCCGGGGCTGGACAAAGGACAGGGATTGATGTTTCCGCATGACAGTTTATACTCATCTAATATCCCTCTAAAATTCATTCCATAATCTAAATAAATAATTGTCTCTCTTTATACTTTTCTGTTGAATTGTGATGTCAAATGAGGTGTGAAATACAAGCTCACGGACCGCGTTTGCCCGCTAACAAAGTGAATATGTGAATATATCCCCAACAGAACATCCCCCAGAAAGCTGTAATCTCCGAATTGTGACAACCTTGGGCGGAATAGAGTTTTTAATAGAATATAATGTACAAACTGCCTGAAATTCTGTGATAAGAATTAAAAATGTGTCATATGGGAAGACATGATGAGCTCAGTGAGAAAGGCAGTATCTTAATTTAAAATATTTTAATGAACGCTCATTGTGAGGAAATGTGAGTAATAAAGATGAAGACCACAAGATAAAGAGTCGTGTTACCAAAGGAGGAGAGAGGAGATTAGAAAAATAAGCAAATTTGAAAGTGTTTGGAACAGATAACAGGGCAGCGATGGAAATGGAAGGCAGGTGGTTTGCATGGAGACCGCGTGTGATCAGAGAGCCCGAGACCGGGTGGCTCCTTGAATGGTTTCTGTCTGGTCACCGGGAGCCATACCTCAGCGGAAGTAAGCTACCACTTTTTCTGTGTTCAGAAACCACAGTACAGATTTTGTTCTCACCTGAGCATTGGAGAGGAGCTCGGGGGCACAGCACGGAAAGAGGAGTTTGTGCCTCTCTGTAGGATAGAAAAGCAAAAGCCACCGAATAGATTTCTTTAAAGAAATCGATTCCCCTCCCCCTGTTGTTGTAAACCCAGCTCAAGGTGAAACCAAGATCGAAGTCAGATGTTTAGTGTGAAGCGCTACCCTGTTGGGAAAATCTGGAATCAGTCTTAGGAGTTTTCCTTTGCCTGCTCATCCAGAAAACACTGGGCAAACAGAGGTCGCCCTCCTGAATAGCTTTTTCTGAAATTCGGCTGTTAAACATTAAGCAGGGGTGTTAAAGAGTCACCATGTCGAGTGTCCTTCCGTGGATTCAGGGTACATAGTTCACTGCACTTCGAGGTTCTTACTTACTTATGTTTTTTAGAAGAAGGATGAAGACAGAGGTAGCAGCGGCCTCCTGTGTCTCCAAGTACAGCCATGTTTCCTGCCTGACTCGTTTATGTTGGTTTCGTTCCTTCTTTAGGAGGTTTAATGACAGGTAAAGATAGAACACACAACACCCTTCAGGAAAGGTTCTTTTAAGAGTTGGCAATGTTAGAGCCCCGTGAGGTTTGATTGCCACTTAACAGATGTGCAAGTTGACCAGTTCAAATGACTTCCCAAGCTCTCCAGACCAGCAAGTAGCCCAAACCGTCGGACCTTAGAGTCTACATGCTTATCCGAGCCCCCCGCTGTGCCCATCTGCACCTTCTTCCTTCGCCCTCGTTCAGTGTTCTTGTCCGTTTGAACTGAAAACTCGGTGACAGCTTGCCATGGGCCCGGCAGGCCATCTGGCGAGTGGGCACACATCCTCACCGCAGAACATGCAAATGTTTATTTGGGAAAAAAGAGCTGTAGGGGTAATTAAGTGAAGAATCTTGAGATGAGGAGATTATCGTAGATGGTCCAGGTGGGCTCTCAGTCTAATGACAGATGTCCTCGTAACACAAGCACGGAGGAGAGGGCCCTGGAGATGGAGGCAGAGATCGGAGCAAAGTGGACACAAGCCGGGGAGGGCAAGCAATGCCTGGGGCCCCCAGAAACTGCAAAAGGCAATGAACGGACATCCCCCCAGAGCCTCAGGTGGGAGCGCGACCCTGCGGACACCTTGATTTTGGAGCCTTGGCTTCCAGGAATGGGAGAGTATAGATCTCTGT